TATGAAGATATGTTTATATGAATTTATTACAATCTCATATTAGGGCATATTAGATCAGATTGTCGTTGCACTTTCTTTGAAAAGTGACATTAATAATCTTTTTGTTAAGTATAGATTATCTTTGTTCATGGTTATACATCATGGGTATGATAAAACTCCTAATATATGGTATGACTTATGGATTAAAAACTCTCATCTTGAGTAAAAATTCGTGTACAATATTCATTCATCGATCTTCTCACTAATCGCAATTAGTTATGTCAAGGATTTTGCAGGAATTAATAAATCCATATATCAAATTCAAACCAAAATTTTGCAAAAGCGGTTTGCCATGAAAAAAAAGTCACACGATCCTAACAAAAATATTCAATCCACGATAAATTAGTGTCGGGGGCTTTGATTTTTTGTAATACAACGTGATAAAAGTTCGACATGACATCATTATATTAAACAACTACCAACACATTTTGTGACACAACGTGTAGCTTTGAAAATGATCTTAGTTCACAATCGAAATACTAACCATTTTATAATATGAAAAATAATTAGAAATACTAACCATTTTATAATATGAAAAATAATTAGATTTCTAATCCAAGATCAGAAATGATGCAAGACTATTGATTTATAATCTAAAATGTCTTTCTATCAAAAACCTAATGTTACTATGTTTAAAAGTGGCTTAATGAGTTCAAAACTGCACTTGCAATTCGAAGGTCATGATATACTACGGGTACTTCGTATATACTTGAGCTATCTCAAATTAGCTTATCAGATGTTACTTTTTTTCTTCGCCGGCATTCGGAATTACTTTTTCATATATGTCACTTCGTTTGATGGAACATATATTATTTTATTGCTGATTTAATTTCACTCATTAAGACATGACCTCAGCTCTATCGTAAAATTTCATTTGTGATAATCTTAATGACATGTTTGGAAAACGATTAGAAAGCTAATTTTGTAGTGACAAGAGTGTTAAATCAGTGAATGAGTTAGACCCATCATAATCTCCACATAAGCCGCAGACACAATAAAATATTCCGTGCAAGTAATTCCATAATATAATGTACCTAAAAAATTCATCCTAGCTGCTCCAGTGTGTTAGCGTGTGGGAGTCACTTTCATTAGAAGTAAAGTCATCGTGAAGAGGAATTTATAATAAAAAATCACTCACTTAAACTCGTATTGGCCTAAGCTAATATCCGCTCGATAAAGTTGGCGTGAGATCAAATTAAGGAGAATCGCCCCAAATAGGACCCATCGCCCATACAATGTCATTTTTGAACGACACGGTCTAGAGCGGTTTGGTAACACTCAAATCGACTGAATCGTCTAGTTCTGCTGAAACTTAAGAAGTTTTGATTGAAGTGTCTGTATTGACTGATTCGGTTTATTGATGAAAAAATTATATTTAAAATATATTTTGTCAATAAAATAAAGAAAAAATTATATGAAAAATAGCTAAAATGATAATCTACAGTAATTTCAGTCAATACAGTCAAAAAAGGAACTACGACCTTACTTTTTCTTATTATGACACAGTTCAACGTGCGAAATCAGAAATCACATATTTAATTAAAAAGTTGATTGAAAAGCCTAACAAGTCCAAAGCCGGGTGCCCATGGGTGCGTATAATTCACAACTTCCCGTTTCCCCTAAGGTCGACTAGCTAGTCTCGATCAGCCTAAATCCCTTCTAATTTATGCGTGATATAAATTTATGGAATGTCGAAGAGATATAACTTTCAATATTCAGTAGCTAAATACTATCGTATCACATAATAATGTACACAAAAAATTGCAGATGTAAAGTGTAAACTCATTAATAAACCAAGTTACTTGTGGTATGATTTTTTTTAGAAACACGTGCAGTGAAAATATAATGTCGTTCGAATGTGCCAACCTTATCAAGTATTCAAATGTAACAATAAATCGTGTGTCTTTTCAAACTCATATATATTAAACATAAGGAGTATATGCATCTCGTGTTTTTTCTATATTTGATAATATGATCAAGTTAAACTATGTTTATATGATCTCTTCAAATTTACAGCAATTTTTTGTAATGTTGAGTACGTACTGAATGAATATCGTTATGTTAGTGGGCAAAAATTGACATTTAAAGGACAAAATTTGCAACTCACAAAATATAACTAATTAAGTTGAATTCCCACTAAAGTGGTTGCATTCTGTGTCTAATATGATTGAAGTTTTTATGATTTAAGTATGCAATTATTCCAAGTGAATGAAAAGTATACTCTTATTTACTACGTTTATGTTAAGAAAAACTCAAATTACGCGAATATATTATTTATATGCAAAAATAATGTTATGTATGTCACTTTTATTTATTTATCATTTGATATTACTTTGAGTTGGTATTTATCGCGATCGAACGGAAAGTTTATGATATGAATGGTAGATAGACTATCCATAAAAAAATGGAATGTAACATTATCATTATCTTTAAAAATAGAGGAATAAAAAAAGGAACTCCACAAAAGTATATAACCAATAAATAATGATTAGGAGATGTATAGTATAAAAATATATATAGAAGGTGAGGAATGGGGTATAAAACTTTATTCACACTCACATGCCTAGTGTCTTCTACACACACAATAATTAATTTAAATTCCTAGGTGAACCAGTCCACGATCTTAAATTACTTGTAGATCAAGTTCACCAAATGATAAGATATACCTTATTTATTATTATTACAATGCGATAAAATTTGAGATTGTGGAATATCTATATGGTATATCAACTAGCTAGGGTTAACGTATGATAGAAAACAAGAAAAATGAAAAAACAAAAATACTCTTTAACGCTCTTTTATTGACAGAGACGTACATATATGTAGATTTTAACCATACTAAGGATGTTTTTACTTGGACTGTAATTTGTCCCAGACCATACCAGACCAGACTAGATCAGACCAGACCAGATCAGTCCAGACCAGATTTGGATAGTTATAAAAATTCAAAGAAACCAGACCAAACTAGACCAGACCAGACCAGTTCAGACCAAACCAGCTCGGACCAGACCAGACCAGACCAGCAAATTACGGTCCAAATAAAAACATTCTAAGTTATACATTCTTCTATTATACTAGTACAATTTATACTAAATTGAAAACCTCAAAATTGAGAGTCTTACCTCCGTTCAAAGATGAGATAATATATCCTATATTATTAAAAGACGTGTATTTTTGTAATATGTGTGTGATCAGGTTTAAATAAGAAGAATCATATCTTTAAAGTGTGAAATAAGAATACATCTTAGCTCATTTGTTAGATTGGACTAAAGTGCAGTAAAAAATAACTTCACATTTCACTATGTTGCAATATGAAGCTGTTTGGTGCAATATCGTCAAATTTTAATGAAATATGAAACAATTTTAGTGTAACATTGCAAAATTTAAATCATACTACAATATTAAGCTATTTTTAGTTCACGCATAAGCCTATTGATTGATATTCATTCTGATTTCTCACATTAGATGCATTTCTCACTTGAACATATGTGCGTGTCTTAATTTCCGAAATTCAAAATGATAGATGTTGTCATTCATGTCCATGTATGTACCGTTGATGTTTCTTCCTATTTCTAGATAATAGTCACTTCCTCTTTGGTAAGGAGCCACTGATTCATTTGACCGGTGTCAACAATTAAAATAAGTACAAGCTCCATCCCAAATTGTTTTATAAAATCAACATTTTTTGTCAATCGATGTTAAAATTAAATCTTCCCTTTTGATAATTAATTCAATTTTAACTATTAAAATTTACATATTCAGGAATTACATTAAAATCTCCATAAAGTTGCAAAATTCAAGTTTATTTAAAACTGATACGGAGTATATTCTAATTAAGTGAACAAAATGAATCTGTTTGACCCAAAAAATCAATTTGGAACTCCATTTGTGTGGTGTCAATTGATCATTTTTCCATTTAGAAAATACTACATATATCTATATCTATAACTACAAAATTATTTGAGTGGTGTCAATTGACACCACAAGGTTGTATGTAGATACATCCCTGTATCACATGAAATATGTAGTCATATATTTGGAAAACATGTGTCTTTTAGTAACAGTGTATTATTTTCCTGGCCTCTTTTTACATAATTGCAATATAGGAAATTTCACACGATTTACATACTATGTGTTTCATTTTGACTGCATTATACTTTTTTAAGTTTAGAAATTTAATGTTTGAAAAGTATTACGGAGTATTAAATGTGTATTACTTTATGTTTTGAAAATATAATTCTTTATTCTCGGGTATGTTTGACACAATTACTTGAAAATATACTTTCGTGAGTTTTGAAGTAATTATTTGTTTTTAGTTACTCAAAAGATCTTAAAAGAAAAATGATGTAGCTATTAGATAAATTCGTTTTTGTGATTAGTTCGAAAAGGGTTCATAAATACTTCGTATATATATTCTATGATGTACAACTTACATGAATATTTATTTATTTTGTCAATATTAAAACTTTAGATTCTATAGAAACAAAAGTTACTAGTAGTAAGCAACAAAAAGATATCACCATCATGCATCAAACTGATAATACATACATAAAAAATTAATCGATGAATATACATAATTTATCATGCATAATAATACATGGAAGGGATTAAATGATAAAGAATGTTTGTAAATCAAACTAAATCACAAATATAATAACTTATCGTTGTAATTAGAATATCGTAACAAGTATACCACATAACATAATTTTCTAGCACTACACAAATCAAAGGCTAACAATGATATTGAGATTAATGTTTAACAATTAACAAATAAAATTTCACAATTTAATTCGTTGATTGGGTTTATTCGATACAATTTTATATTGAAAGATCAAAACATGGACCAAACCAAACAATTAAGGTTCAATTATTTGCATTCGATTTCGAATATTTTGCGATTCGATTTAATTTGGCTGTGATTCAATTTATTTTAATTTGGTTTTGAACCCATCGGTTTAGTCTATGAATGCTTTATTTTAATCAGTGACTAAAAACCAAAGGAGACTTGAGAATATAATGAGTTACATAAAGTCTTTAAATTCTTTCAATCAATTCAACCCATGAGACACAATTTGTCATATCTACAATATGTTACATGTGACATCTCTGAATTATCACAAAAATAGGGTCTCTATTCCTTCAATCTTTCTATGTGAAAAAGTAACAAAAATCATAATTATCTGTCTAATTGCTACTAAATTAGTTATGAATCAAGAATGGCCGGAATGGAAAAGATTGAACTTTTTCCTTTTGAGCTCAGAATCTCACTGTTGAACTGCCATTTCTTCTGTACACATAAAAAGCCTCTCCTAATTGGGGCTTCATAATGAACAGTGGAACATTTCTCCCGCTATCAGATATGTTGAGGATCATAGCTCTGCTTTCATTTCAGAAGTACTTAAAGTTCCTGCATTTCCCATCATCATTCCAAAATAAGTTTCACTCACATAATGAAAATTACCTAAAGCAGTATTGCATTTATCATATTAAACAAAAAGTAAAATAAATATAAAATATACCAACCATGAAAGTTCTGTGTCTGGTTTTGGCCAAAACCCATATGGACAACACTACTTAGATCATCCTCAAAGAATACAGGCACCTGGAAAATTCATTGTCTTAGCATAAGTATACACAAGCATAACAAAGAAAACAAATACTCCTTTTTTATCACTCTTTTAAATAGAGTTTTCACTTTAATTGGAATAAAACAGAAGAAACATAGACAAAGTAGAAAATTGTAAATATTAGAGTAGAAAAATATAAAGACAAGATGAAAGAAGTATAAAAGTGGGGAAAAAGAAGATTAAAAGTAGAGTAAAAGTAGGAAAAATAGGAAAGAGATAAAAAAAATATTGAAAAGGAGCAAATAACAAAAACTTTCTAAAAAAGTACTCCATATGGAGCAAATTATATGAACAGAGGAGGGGCTATTACTATTATTATTAGTGTTAGTATTACAGTTAGTAACTTAGTATTATTATTAGTTTGATTTGGTTTTATATTTGTGTGTGACAATAGTTTAGTTACCTGAGAGGATGGATCAAGATAAGTGTCCATATGAGGCAATGTGAGATCCTGATTTCTACAAAAAGGGGCTTCTGATCCTTTACAATGGACAGATTGCAAAGTTGGGAGTGAATGCTGAGATTGAAAAGAATATGGAATTGGTGATCCGGAGGCATTCGGTGATGAAAACACATTCTGAGACATTGTCCCTTGATATTCATACACCTGAGGTTTTCATCATGGTTTCAGATTACATTTAAGCAGAAACAATTTATTTATAGAGCACTAATTAAATTACAGATTAGCTAATTGTGTGACTCTTATTATAATAATAACTTACATCCTTGGATAGAAGAGCTTCCATGTCAAACTCCATTCTCGGATTTACTGTGGCAAGCTTCATTGACAGAAACTACAAGCCAAATAATATGATGTTAAGTCACATATAAACTGCAATATTACTGTATAGTTTAAGATGATACACCAAGTTTTAATACAGAAATAATAAATTGAAAGGAGTTGTGGATTTTATTTTTACCTCAACTTGTCTTTGCAAGGATTGCACATAGTTTATAATCTCATCTAACATCACAGCTTTTCCAGTCACCTATCAAGAAAGTAAAGGTAAATATTTTTAGAACGCTGTAAATATCTATAAATTTCAGGAAAATAACTAACCATTAACAAATTAGTTGTACCTTATTGCAGCCTGGCACTAGATCTTGCAAAAGCTTCATTCTTTCACTGATCTTTTCTCTTCTAACTCTTTCTGCAAGGCTATGGGCATCAGTGGCCTGACCCCTTCTAGCTCTCACATGAATATAGTCTTTCACACTTTCTGCAGCCTTTGGATTATTAGCTTTATTCTCTTTTCCATTGTTTTGCTCTTCTAGTTTTGTTCTCTTGGGGTTATTGAAGTCATTGTTCCCTGAGGCAGCTGCCTGTATAATCCAGTTGAACTTTATTTAATTGCCTCAAAGGTCTTTTTTTTATGAAAAAAAAATTGGAATTCAATTCATGTGAAAATAATATACTAGTATAAGATAAGATAAGATGAACATTACATTGGGAAATGTTGTTGTTGTGGTCTCTTTGGCTTTCCCCTTTGTAGAAGCTTTCCTCTTTCTTAGATTTGTATCTTTTTTGCAGATTTTCCCAACTGGAATCTGATCTGAGACGGAGGAGTTCTCCCTGGAATTGCCCAACTCTGAGCTTTCAGGCGTGGATTTCTTGATGGAAAGGTTACCGGAAAGCTTGCCGGAAAAACAAGAAAATCTTGCAGCCCTGTCAGCAAAACCGGGATCGGTTGAAAATTGTTGTGGAAGGTCAGGGTGAATGGGGAAATCGGCGGCCATGGTCGGATGATCCACCATTGATGAGAGATTTAGCTTAGGAGGGGAATTATAGCCGGAATTTTTAGTGCAGGCGGCCGGAGAAAACTCCCCGGAGGAGTTGTCAAAGCTGCCTAGCCTTCCAATAAGTTCCTTGAGTATAAAGACCTGATTCCGGACGGAATGGTTAGCTCCTCCGGCGTGAGATGCCGCCGGAGATGAGACCATGGAGCTCAAAGCAGACCGGAAAGGGTCATTCTGATCCGCCGGATTGTCCCAACTAGGACTGAACAGCTCATTGCCATGAATTCCAACTCCATATGACATTGTGATTCCATCATTTGAAAACAAGTTCTGCTTATCCATGGGTGAGAATGGTAGTTCAAGAATGGTTAATTAAAGAGATCAAAATAATCAAGAATCAACTAAAAGAAGCACAAGAATCTTTAGTTCTTGACAGATTGAGGTGGTGTACACTGTTTTTAAACTGCTTGGAAAAGGGGTAGACTTTAATGTCTGGAAGTAGACTAATTGATATTGAGATGGAAATATATAGGAGTACTTTATAAAGACAGGATGAGAGAAATTTGGGAGTATGAGAGAAAGAGCGAGTAAGGGAGAAAAATGGTGGGAAGTAAAGGGGAAAGGAAGGGTAGATAAAGAAACAATTTGACCTTTTCTATTTCTTTTTCTATTTTTTTCAACAAAGCCAAAATTTTCTCATCCTCAAAGTCCACGTATTTCTTTTCAATAATGCTATGTGTACATGATTTGTACACAAACTATACATTGATATAAAGAGCTCTTTATTTTTATCATTAGATTTTTTATTGTTTTACCCTCTTTTCCCTCTCCCTATCTCTTTGTCCTCTCTCTTCCCTTTAACTTGAGCTTCTCTCTCGTAGCCCTTCTCCTTTCTTTCTTCTTCATTTTCATTTCAATCATCTCCACATTTAATTATCATAAGTTATTTAATTTGTCTCTATGGTGATTCACGATTGAATAGGGAGCCTCACAGACCTGGAAGACATCGCCGCTTGGAGCCGCCGCCATCTGAATGCTGCCACCGCTCAGGAGTTACAGGGCTGACCACCCGCAAGCGAGTCCGACATGGAGGATTGATTTTCGACCTGGTGAATTGCCGCCGACCCACTGCCACCATGGTATTCATTTCCCCTTCATCTTACTTCAATCCAAACTCCTTAACCCTAACTCATTATATACTAATTTCCCCATTTTTTGTTATTGTGGTTTAAGGTTTTATTATTCTTTTAAATGTTATGTTTAATTGATATTATAATGTTGTTCGTTTGACACTTTATATTGTTAATATTTCCATGTGTGCTTGTTTTTAAAACTTTTGCATGCTAATAAGCTAGTAAAATGTTTTGTTTAATTTATAATAACCTATAAAGCATATTCAGGTTATCCCAATCTAATCCCAGAGGTGGAACAAGGCATGCCAAGTCTTAGTCACATGTGGTGGACTCTAAAATATTAGTTGGTGTTATAATTATTTATCTCTTATTTCTATAAATTCATAATTAGTATTGATTTTGATGATTGTATACAAGTATTTTTATTATTGTTTTTAAAATAATGAGCTACTGGTTTTTGTTCTTAAATTTGAACTTAAAGAACAAATAAAAAAGTTATAGTATATAGTCTTATTTTGTGCTTGAATGTAGTTATACATATGAACATTACATGAATGTAGAAAACATATATTTAAAACTAAATGATTGAACCTTGCTAAAATCTTAATCTTAGTTTACATTTGTTCATACTGTGTAGGGTAATATTCATAAAATTGGTGTGGAATGAATTATTCAAATGAGTAAAAGTATGCATGTATGCAGCTTAAGTGGTCATGTCCAGGCTGCAACCGCATGAGAGTAATGTTTGTTTGTTGTGAAAAAATCCAAGAGAATGATTGGGAAAGGGGGCAAGAACACCCCTGTAGTTGACACTAAAGTACATCCAAGCCCATAAACTTATTTTTTGGGCATATATCTTTATATATCACTAAAAAGGGGCAAATACCCCCTTAATTAACGATGATGGACGGATAGATAACAACATTTGGTGAAATTTTGAAATAAGGAACAAAAACACCCTTGAGTTGTCATGTAAGAGTTGTCCAGGCCCATGAACTTTTTTGTGAGCAAATGCCTTAAATAAACATGCAAAGAGGGTAAAACCCCACTTTAACTAAATGAAATGTCGAATTACATAGTTAAACTCATGCTAATAGCCCAAAACAGTGGCAATTAACTTGCAACTCATGGAAAATCAAGTTGAAATTGGAAGTCTGCTATATTCAACTTACCCCCAAAGACATTAATGAAATCCTTTGATGAAATAGGTGATCCAAACAAGCTTTTAGGAACTGTTGATACAACAAATATTTTTGAAAAAGTAACATCACGTATGTTCACCCAAAATTGACAGATACGTTCATCCAAAAAATCAGCACACTTGGGGTCTGTTTGCAACAGCTTCTACTTTTAAAAAAGTGTTTTTTTTAATGAAATGGGGAGAAGTGATTAAATAAAAGTTGATAGTGTTTGAGAAAAAATGATTTTGAAAAGTAAAAGTGGGTAGTGTTTGGTAAAATAAGTGTTTTTTGTGTAATAGAAAAAGTAAAAGCACTTTTGGCGCGTAAGCCGAGAAAAATAAAAGTTGTAGTGTTAGGGAAAATAAGTGCTTTTTAAAGCCAAAAGTTGAGAAGTACTTTTTTAAAAGAAGTTGCAAACCAACCCTTAGTACCATTCCATTTCGGTGAAACCAGGACATGTGTTCACCCAAAAAAACAAAAAACACCTATATGTAAATGTTTAGTTAATGTATCGCCATTTTTGTTTGAGCATTAGAGTTGACCCCAATTTTTGACACCGCATTGACAATCACTGTTTGAGATTCCATTCTAGGCTGTAAAAACAAATAGAGGCAATAAACACAATGTTTAAGTATACCACACACACAATACAAAAAATCCTCACAAGTTTAAAGATTATGATGGTAGAATACTGTTGGATAATTGATACCCATATCCTATAACTAAGAGAGATTGAACAAGAATAAAAAAGAGTAATGGAGAAGAAGAAGAAAATGTGTATAGAGTATGAACATGAGTTCCTGAGTTGTGGTTTACAAGCCTCCTATAAGGAGTATATATAGGGAAAGTCCGGGTCTGGGCCTCTAGTATGGGCCTGACAGACCCGGTTACATAAATGGACTGATAGTATAAAAAGCTAATCTAGAACATCTGAATAATAATAATGTACAATAATATTAATGATATCTGCTAAACGTGTGTGGGCCGCTGTCCAGGCCTAGTAGTCGGCATACCGGGGGGTCGGAGTCCATATAATCCATCAGGAGTCCCCCACTCCCTGAGTCGAGAGTACTCGAGGCGAAAGGGAGTAGTCCAAACTGTATCTGCAACGTTCTTCCTCTTCGGCCGGGGGACCACCACCCTTGTCCATTATGGGGAGGTGCCTCGTTAAAAACCTTTACTAGGAAAAACCCAGTGGGAAAAAATCCTAATAAAGGGAAAAAGAGTACACCTAGCGCCCCCAACATGAAACAAGGAAGGTAAATCCCCTCCGGCATAATCAATCTAGCTCAGCTCCTCTTCAACTGACTCAGCTCTCGTTCCTGCTCTTGCGTGATATTTTCTGCTCATCTAGAAACTCTGACCTCTCAGTCCCCCAGTCCCCACTCTTTGAGGCGAGTGGAGACGAGGTGAAAATGAGTAAAGTCATCTTCGTACCTACACATTTATCATACATATAAAAAAAATTCCTTGGGATTTATGTTCCCGATCGGGAGTTCGTCACTTGAAACAAGTGGAGATGTGAATTGCTAATGTAATGATAAAATACTTAGTAGAATGGATGTGTGAGCCATTCGTAAGCAACGGTCGCCACTCGAGGAATGACTAAGACCGGTCTTCGTACCCGACTTGGTCGGGGTTTTGTCTTCATGCCCGACTTGGTCGGGGCTTTGTGCCTGAGGAGACAGGGCTTTGTGCCTGAGGAGTCAGGGCTTTAAATCCTAGTGATGGGTCTCAAGCCACACTCTACTAGGCATTTGATCATAAGTGCGTGATAGTGTGACATTCACCCGACAACCCGACAAAAAATGATTTAAATACATATAAGTAATATGAAAATTAAGGGTACTTATCTTTTTATCTTTTGAGGTGGGTTGACTTCAAATGTACTGTTATACTTGAGAATCAACCTCTCGGCTTTCTGTATTTGTGGCCCATCCATCCTTAGAGTAGCTCAGCATAATAATTTTGACCCGATCCACCAAATGTTCCCATTAGCTTTCACGGCTGGCAAGTGGGCAGTGAAAAGAGGGTAGCATGTCACCTTCATCTTTTAGGAAACTTGGCAGCTGCTACCAACTGGTGAGGACCCCAGCATGGCTGGCGAGGTGGGAGAGTGTCGGCGAAGCGACCGGGTAGAGAAAAGGGGCGGCGAGCGATGGTGCCACGTCCATAGTGGAGCCCAAGTGAGCTGCAGGTGCGTTACCGACTTGCTGTACGACGAGGACTGGAAATGTAGCAGGTTGGCTCCAATGCGTTTAACGGAGGGATGGCGATGGCCTCGCTCTCGACTGGTGCTGGTGAGGGCCGGACTTGGTCCGTCTAGTTGACTGAGCTTCACCAGTTGACCACCAAAATCAAATTTGGCCGGAAAAATTCCAGATCTTGGAGATTACAGATCCAAAAATTCCAAAAACTTTCATCTTGGAGATCTTTTTCTGAAATTTCAAAACTGCAAACCATTTTTTCTTCGTTTTTTGAGAAGACAGTGGCCATTAACGGTAGACCTTCGATGTTTTGAGCTTAACGACCGGAGAAATGACTGGGAAGACGGTGACCGGAGCTAGGTTACCGGAGCTGGCCTTTCATTGAGCTGAGGTGGTGACCGGATCGAGATGAGCTGACGACCGAATTAGATGGGCGGCGCTGCCCTGGGGGCGGCAGGACCCACGTTTGGTGTAGCTGAACTCTTGCTTGGGCTCGCTGCCATGGATGGTGACCGGAGCTGGGCGAACGGCGCTGCCATGGGGGTGGCAGAACTCGAGCTTGATGTCGCTTGCTTGCATCACTCCAAGCCGTCGTTCGAGTCACGAGTAGTTGAAGTCGCTGGAAGCCTGGAGTAGCGGATCTACGAGCCCTAAACGTCCTTCTTCCTCCCTTTCCGGAGGCTGGGCAGATGGGCCGGGTATCTCCCGCTAGGTGATGATATCTCCGGCTGGGATCTGGAAATCTAGATGTGAAATTGCAACTTTTCCTTCTTCGATTCTTCCTGAATTTTCAGAAGGATTTTGACTGATTCCTTCAAGATTACCACTGTTTTGGATGAATTTTTTTCTGAGATTGGAATGATTTTTTTTGTGATTGGGATGAATTTTTGGGTAATTTTGGTAGATTATTTGGTTAAGCGGGGAGGATTTCTCACTTGATTGTGTTCAACCTCTCAACGAGAGCACCATTGTTGGATAATTGATACCCATATCCTATAACTAAGAGAGATTGAACAAGAATAAAAAAGAGTAATGGAGAAGAAGAAGAAAATGTGTATAGAGTATGAACATGAGTTCCTGAGTTGTGGTTTACAAGCCTCCTATAAGGAGTATATATAGGGAAAGTCCGGGTCTGGGCCTCTAGTATGGGCCTGACAGACCCGGTTACATAAATGGACTGATAGTATAAAAAGCTAATCTAGAACATCTGAATAATAATAATGTACAATAATATTAATGATATCTGCTAAACGTGTGTGGGCCGCTGTCCAGGCCTAGTAGTCGGCATACCGGGGGGTCGGAGTCCATATAATCCATCAAATACATTGATCACTGTTCTTCCAGTATTCCATCTTGGTTTTGCTACTTTGAAGCTTAATGAACTATAAGTTGTGAGTTATTTTCTTTAATCTTCTTCCTTGAATATTAATTAATTCCTAATCCTATTTCATATTAATATTTTGAGCATTACTTAAAGGATCGACTAGTTTTGTTTCATATATTAGTTATTACTAGAATCGATCGATTAATATGCTTGTTATTAATTCGGTCCTTTCACGGTAGTAAACTTGGGTTGTTAATGCATGCGTCTCATGGTTAATAACCGAAGGGGAATTAATTATATTGATTAAACCGATAAACCGCTTGTGTTGAGGTTATCAATCTCAATCGTTTTCATCTTGATTTAATTGCTACTATCAGGTTAATATACGGCGCATGTTCTATATTGACTCGGTAGTAAGTTTTATTAATGAACGCGTCTCGTTATTAATAACTACCCTCGATGAATTGGATATACTCCTCGATTGAGTATTCGCGTGTTCTAGAGGGAGAGCAGCACCGGTTCTTTACACTGTTCGACATTTCCATATCTTTATGTGTTGAATCGGAGCTTTCTATTTGTTTCATCACTGTTTTATGATTGTTTGGTTGTTAGAACGAAATAGGGACTAAAAGATGTGTCGTGTCTACAAGTCATAGGCTTAGGTAAGCCCAAAGTGGGATCAACGAATTATATGGCTTCTCCGGAGGTGATTAATTCAAAGTCTAGTCCTTGGGCGGACGGTAAACAGGAGACTTGTTGTCACACGGTAACCTGTTTTGGTTTGGTCTATTTGGTTATGATAAGTTAGGCCGGTTTTGTTAAGAAAATGGCTTTTTTTTTGTTTGTGATGTAGTTCTTCCACTACATATATTTTTCGGGAAGTCCCGAAACTGTCCCAGTTTGTATCGATTCCGGTTTAAAAGGGACAAAAAAGGACAATGCCCTCTCCCGTCCTGTTCCGAACCGTTATTCTAATTCGGGACAAGTACCGGGATAACCCATATCCTGTTCCTTCCCGGACCGTACCCACCCCTATTTGGCCCATTCCCGAAAAAATCCTTTCTAATATCAAGCTATGGTTTAACTTCCTCCCGAATCCCGATAGCAGGGTCCGCCCAGGGCAGGGTAGCCAACCCAACAGAACAGGGCCCAAATTTTTGGAAGGCCCAAAAATAAAAGACTAATAGTATACTCCAGCCCAATCCTAGCGTCCTAACCCGCCCAAAAACCTCCGCTCTCTCTGTCCGCTAGACTCGGAGCACTGGAACGACAAACTAACGAAGCGACGAAGCACTGAAGGAGGGCCGACGAAGGTGACAACTCGCCTGACTCACTGGGGATTTCAAAACTTAAAGTTTTGAAATAATATATATTCCAAAACTTTCATCTCGGCAATCTGTCGCTCCATTGCTTCCAGCCTTGCATCCTGTGCGGCCCTTCCGGGGGACACAGGGGGCACGGCTTCGAGGACAGCGTTTTGCTGAGCGGCCACAGCACCGTGCGGCCGCCTGAGGATCTGTGCCCCTCGCCGCTGGAATCGTCGTCCAACGGTGTTGATCCTTGGGGTTTCGTCTCCCCGCGAGACTTGGCGGGGAACTGATGGCGTGTGCGCCCTGAAAGCAGCGATGCTGTCCTTGGTCCGCCCTCCCGTTCCACGGGAGCCTGAACCTCCACCTAGCCGCTCATGGACTGAGGGCCGGTGGTCGCTGGACCCTGTCGTATCATCGTACGATTGCATACGGCGGATGGGAGAGAGGGGTGTCCGCTAGGTGCTTACAGAGTACACCTGCTCTTGAGCCTCCCGTTCGTCTGCCAAACGGCGCATGGTGTCGGCAAGTTCCCGCATGAGGCGGGGATCCTGCCTGGCCTCAAGGGGAATGAGGTCAGTGATACCCCCGTTTCCCCCGGAGGTCCAGATCGTTGCGGACAGTTCCGTGTTCTGGCCGCGATTCCGGCGGCTTGACTCCAGACGTTCGGAGAGATCGCGCTGGTTGTTGCTTCCTGACATCGTGTTTTGCAGTGGTTAGATGTAGTAGCTGTTTGGGAGAGTTTCTGGAAACTTTTTGTTCAGTTTCCCACAGACGGCGCCAGTGTTGAGGTTTATTCCTTCAACCCTTGGACCCAACACGTAAGCCCAAAGATTTCGAGTGGAGTGAGTGTATGAGTATGTGAATATCTAGCCCAACAACTATCAGATGGATCAGGAAACAGAGGGAATAGCAGGCAATGTAAATAGGTATTATTAACTTCGTAATAACTCCCCTAAGTACAATCTACTTGCTAAAAGGGCACGTCGGCCGTTCGTCCTATGAGGTAGTGTAGATGCTACCAGTAAGAACACTATTGCTAGAATGCTATCAATAGAAAGTTGCCAACCTTTTACAATGAAATAAATGCTTCTATTTATACCCGCCAATGGGCAGGTGGCTATGCTGACGTGGAGGCCTGTGGACCGCTTGTGTCCCAACCACCAAATCTTCAGCATTAAATGCACTTCCCGCCAGTATCTAGGTTTCCCGCCTAAATAATGGGGACGTTCGTCCGCCTGGGGAGCGAGCTGGGTCGCTCCAGGTGACCCTCAAGAGGTTTTGGCTGTTCGTCTCCTTGCCTTTATGGATTCTCTCCATGTGGACTGGATTCCCTCCGAGGATTACGGGCTTGCCCAAGAGACGTTCGTCGTTGTTCCTGGTGGCCCTTGGGCCCGAACCCCCAACCTCAGACGTTCGTCCCTCCTCAAGGAACATGGGCCTGCGGCTGGCCTTGTGGTCTGAGTGGACACACGTCTGGTAAAGAAACGGGTTAGTGGGCCGGACCTCGGCTTGGGCCATTAACCCAACACAATGTTACAAAATACAATTAATAATTTTTTGATGTCATATTCAATATTGAACAATAATTATTATTATTAGTATATTTAAGCAGTTCAACGTGTCACGTACTAAAAAGAACACATTCTCCTAAAATAACTTGACCAATATAGATATTACTAAATCAATTGTGATTATCTTTAACAAAAACAAATAAAATTATTCAAACAACATGAGTATAAAATCATTTATTCTTAATATGATATTGTGTATATAGTCATTTTTTATAATTTTAAAAAATTATTTGAATAAGACTTTCAGACAAAGTTGTGTCTCGACTTGCAGAATCCTTATGTGATTACACTCGTCACATAAGTGTATCTCTCTTCACTCATCACCTATTCAGCGGCTCAGTCATCGTCGATGGCAAACTCTTGGAACAAGATGAACTTGTTTATGGACATTAATACATTAGTCATTAGCAGGGGCGGAGGGAGGGGGTGGCCTGGCTGGGCCATGGCCGAGGGTATTTTTTTTTTTGTATCATACTCCCTCTGTCCCTAAATTTACTTCCATTTCGCTTTTCGAGAGTCAACTTAAATCACTCTTAAACTTTTACTTTTTGTATCAAAACTTTATGAAAATTGATTTTTTTTGCAGACTTTGTAGCGAGTTTAATGTAGTTTCTGAATATATAAATTTTATTTATTAAAAATAATCCGAGTTTTCACAGGGATTATTTAACTTTATCGTCGGTCAACTTTCTTAATCCGCAATTGGAACAACATGAGGGAGTATATGAATTTTTAAAAAGTACTCCTATTTAGAATTGGCCCAGTGCAAAAAAGTACTGGCCCAGTGTATATGGCCCAGCATTGCAAATTAACTGTCCACTGCAGCGCTAAACCAAAGCCGACGGACGTTTTACACATCGCATCGTCAAGCACAGCAGACCATCCGTCCACTCGCATCGCCTATTCGCCGGACGGCGGACGCCGCCTCTCCTCCGCTCCACTGCTCTCCCTGCGCAGCTTCGTTCCTTTGACTGCTGACCTGCTTCTCCAGACGACCAGACTGCATTCTCTCGAGGTAAGGAAGAATTAATTAAACTTTTTCACTTAGATGAAATTTAAAGGAAGATTGAATAAACCCTCAATTAAACGCCGCCCCTGGTTATCGGTGATAATTAAACTATTTCTCTCGACCTGTGTTTACGATTTTTAGTTTATTGCTTCAAATTTTTTGACAAAATACTTTAGATTAAATTTGAAGGAAGAAGGAATAACCCTCGTGCGTAATAAAACCTTCAAATTGCATAGGACATAGTTGATTTTATACCCCGATTTACAATTTTTAGCTTAATTTAACTTATTTAAGTATCTTATTTGTTATTTTAGTTTGTGTTAGTGACTTGGTGTGTCACAATTGATTTGTGTGTTTTGATTTGTATAAAAAACAGGATTTAGGAATGTAAAATGCGATTTGTGAATTTATTAAAATATTAATATGAATTATATGAATTCAAATAATATATTGATCAGTTTTTTACTTTTTTTTGTTAATTTTAGTTGGTATGGCTACTCAATCTACCTCCAAAGAGGCTAAAATCATATTGGTTTTATAAGCTTGGTACAAGCACTCAAGTAGACAAGAGTTAAATGTCTCAATTGAAACTCCTAATATCTCATCCGCTCAAGTGAGAGTAATTTCTGATGCACTTGAAATTGAGCAGGATCGGGGAACACGCAAAACGATAAGTGATTGGCTCTTAGAGAAAAGAGATGAAATTAGCGATCTTATTTTATATTTGGATCTTATCAACCGAAATTGAACTTTTACAAAGGTCGAGTTTACAAAGATAGGATACGTCGTTTTCTAGCTACTTGATTCAATGAACTTAATTGGTTGGAATACTCTTCAACAACACATAAGGCATTTCTTGCCGATCGTTTGACCATCTTTATTGAAAAGGAATTTGCCAACAAAATCGAGGTTGGCTCTGACATAGATGAGTTTGTTAAGGTCAAAGAGCGTCGTGTTCAGTTAACGTTTTAGTTTCAAACATTGTTTGTATGTTACGTAGTAGAAACCTAGAAGGTTATAGTGAGTTTGAGAAATTGGATCATCGTTTTTGAATTTTGGTATTTGTAACCAAGTATTAATTTAGGGCTACAAAATTGTAATGGCCTTTTATAATATTTTACAATTAAAAGTAATTGTTGGGTTGAGAGTCAGTATAGTATTATACTGGTATACTACGGTATTTGAAAACATTTACCGTTACCGTATCCAAATAAATCGGTATGCTATGCTATTGTACCGAAAATAACGGTATACCAATATTCCGATATTTTTACAGTAAATGCAATATATACCGTAAATGCAATATTTTTGCCCATAAGTACAAGTGAAGTCACCCGCTTAAATTTTGTCTTGACTAGTTTTTTTTATATCTTTCACAACCGGCCCAAAGTGAAACACTATCGTATTAAATAACCGTATAGTATAAGGAATAATAGTTCGAAGAAGAAAACCCTACCATTCGATTCTTTTGAATTCCTACCCTTAACCACCCAAATCATAGCATAAACGATTCATCTAGTACGACTGCCTGGCAATTAAACATCTCTCTTCTTCTCGTAGATATGTCTTAAGTTTCTTTTGTTGAGTATGGATTATAATTCAAGGCGCATGTGAATAAAGAGCTTTCCTTAGGGGTAATTTCTCTTACTTTTCGTCAATGTTTGCAGCTTATTGTGTGCCTACAACTTAGTTTATGTATAATCATGCTTCAATAATTTAAATACTTTGAATCAAAAGTAGCTAGTTTCTGTTTTCATATATATGAATGTTCGATTATTTTGGACTGTTAATTTTACATTTTTGTTTTTAAACTGAGAGGTAACTGAGTTGTTTATGGACGGACTGAAACAATCTTGCTGATCTTCTCAGGCATCTCATGTTGATTGCCAGATATTAGTGTTGCACTCTATTGTTGTTTCATTAGGTTAAATTTTTTTATGCAAGTGGTCTTTTTCTGTGTTATTTGCTGCTTTACAGAGATTTCATTCCCTTTAACAAAATGTATATTCAAAGATTATGCTTTACGCTTGTTTTGATCTGGAGGTTTTGGTGCAGAGGAAGGGGAATTGTGATCTTCATTTTAAAATTTTCTTTTGCACTCAAGTTTCTACCAATAATGAGAATATAAAAAATTAAAAATATGTTTATAACTTATCGTATATTTATTTATAGTTTAGAACTGAGAAATAGAGATAATTTAATAATTAATAAAATAAAAACCAATCTTCCCTCTTCATATGAAATCCCCAATTAAATTAGTTTATGATTTCTTCAATACTTTTAGTTCTTTTGTGTGCTTTTTTTCTTCTAAAAGTAGAGTACTGCTTTTTTGTTAATTTTTAAATAGCATTTTTCATAGGACTTAGTATTGTTTAGTTCTACTTTAGACATTGCTCTTGCTATTTATGGGAGAAGATAAGAAAGGAGTAGGTGAGAATGAATTAGGGGTCCTTGGGAACTCAAGTTTCTCCCCTTAGATTTTCAAGAATTAACAGGATTGAGCCCCCTTTAAGACAAGTTAGTGAGTGTTCAAATGTCATGTAAAAAGGTAGATTATGTGTTAATTTGGTCCACTTTAGTAGTTGTATTCAGTGATTTTTTGAAGTCGCAATGTTTTTCTTCCTTAATGATGTTAAATGCTGCTTTAAGATATTTTTCTTGTTAAATATGTCTATACATAATACACATAGATATTTGTGTGTGAACATACATATACAAACACACACGGGGATAAATTTAAATTGGATTTATGTGATAGTATAAAATGGATAAGTTTGAGATTCAAATGTGTGTGTTTACATATTTTTTTGAATCAAGCGTGATTGGCTTATCTGTATTGGCCTCACACTAGATAAATTGGGCATATATATACTGCATGACTATTTTATTTGATGAAGTTATCAGTGATGCAAACAGGACTCCAGTGACTTTTTTTTTTTACGTATAATATGTTATATGGAGTATCATATTCCTGATTTTTATTCTTTTTTTGTATCAGCACAAAGATCATACCAAGCGAATTCCATGGCCAACTCTTGTAAGTCATATGTACATACTCTTCAATAATTATGAGAAGGGATAAGGGGCAAATTAACCACTATGGTAGGTGCAAAAGTGCAAATAAGACACTAACCTTTGTTTAGGTGCAAATAACATTAAATGTATTACATTATTGGCATATTAGCCACCCATTAACAGAAACGGGCCTTCCAACATGAAAAAAAAATTGACGTTACGTTAAAAAGGAATCCAAGTTGAGTTGGATTTTCACCCTTAGTTTGATGGTTGATGTTGCTGAACTTTGGCTAAATTAAGTTATTGATGTTGGCTTCAAAGACTCCTAACTAACTTCCTTTTCAGTTTTAACTATTATTTATAATTTTCCCATTTTAACCTAAAAAGATGAGTGCCTTGTGTGAATAGACTAACATGTGAAATTACAAATAGCAAGTTAGCAAAAGTGGAGAGCTAGTGGAATTGGAGGACAGAGTATTAAAAACCGGAGGAAAGTATATTTTAATAAATTACAAGTTTTTAATTGGTTTTGGGGAAATGGGAGTTTAACCTATATTTTCATCCAAAATTGAGCTTAGTTTATCATGTTTTTAGGTAATCACTAAGAATTCACCAAGAAGACATTTTGAGACATACCTTGAGGAGTCAATTTTACAAAAAGAATCATGTGTCTGTATAGTAAAATCAAGTGAACAATTCATTGTGCTTTCATTCTAGCACCGGAGGACAATTGTGTTAGTTAGCGTATAAAGTTAAAGGCTTCTTGCTCTTACTAGCACTGGCGGCCTAGCTCAGTCTTGAGCGGAACACTGGGTTTAGTTTGTTCTTCTGGAAGGCAGCTAGAATAGGTGAAGCTTGAGCCTTTTCGGTTGTTGGTTAAGAAAGATTTCTGGAAAATGATCCAAGCTCCGTTTGTAATCCGTTTGTTGATGTTAGTGGGTGGCTAGAACGCCACTTATGTATTATATTTAATGTTATTTGCACTTAAAAAAAGATTAGTGTCCTATTTGCACTTTTACTCTTACCATAGTGGCTAATTTGCCCATTTTCCCTTATGAGAATTTTGGGTTCAGAGACATTCAATCATGGTTGTTGATGGTGTGATATGGCGCGTGCGCCATGTGGCGCACAAAAGACCCCTGCGCTATGAAAATGGCCTGCGGCGAGCCATGGCGCTGCGAATGGTTTTTAAAGAATAGGTCCGCGTATTTGCGCTGTAAGTTTTGGACTTTTGGGCCATAATAATCTGCGACCCATAACAACAATAAAACTCTAACAAAAACTAAATATTTTAGCCCATAATAGTATAATACTAACAATAACCCTAAACAAAAGTAAATAAACACAACAAAGTGATAACACGTGAGAAGTTAAAGCTGCTGCACCGGAAGAAAACCTATGCGACAAACGACAGAAAGGCAAACAATAAGGGGGACTCTCGTTGACTTCATCGTATTACAAAAGGTACGACTACCTCTTTAATGCTGTGTATTAATGAATAAAATTTCAGTTTATACTCTTACAGTTTATCCAAACTTTATATGAATATATATTCCTGAAAATGTGAACTTCATTTAATACTTCATGTGCTATGAGTATTAAATACAGAGCAGCTCAGCCTTTAATCCTTTATGTTAAATGCATAATATGCTATGATATTTTATCAATTTAATACTGAGCAGCTCAGCCTTTAATCCTTAATGTTAAATGCATAATATATTAATATGCTATGATACTTTATCAATTTATCACTTTAAACTTTAAAATAAATTTAGTTTCATACTTAGATGATTTGTTCAGATAATTAAGATGCTATGTTCACATAATTTATCAGTTTCAATACTTAAAGGAATTATAGCATTGTAAAATGAAGTTTTTACTTTAGAACTCAAAGTGTTTAAACTGATAAATGGATACACTTTAATAAGTTAATTTAGTTTAAACTTTACAGTTTAGACTTTAGATGAAGTTCAGTTTAAAATTTAAATTGATACTTTATCATTGATATTTGATGCCAAATTAAGATTTGAACCAGACTACCAGTACATCTCATCCCTCACACTTAAGGTTTTCAACTTAAAGACATTCTTGTGAGTTGAGAATATTTCTTGGCTGAAACTTTGTTAAGAAAAGCTCATAGGTTGATAAAAGCCACTCAATTTAAACTGTAGAACTCTGTATTTAATACATATCATTTACTTTATGTCTATCAATTTATAACAGTTAACATTAAACAGTTGAACATATTAATAGATGATGTTCATTGTTCACTTTAAAGTTTAAATTGAATTAGTTGTGACTTGAATACTTGATATTTTAAATTTAGTTGAGACTTGATATTTTATGATCTCAGATACTGTGGGCAGAGGTAACATTGATCATTTTTATTTTAAATTACTTTAGATGATGTTCAGTGATCATTTTTATGTTAATTCTTATTACAGACTACAGAGGTAACCGAAGGGGCAGTGCCGCAAAGGATGTATGTTGCCTTTGCTAAGGAGCATTGTGAGAAAGTGAAAGAAAACAACAACAATGACTTGCGCTGCAAATACTATCTGATTCAGACCAAGATGATGAGTGCAATGAATTTGGCATTATCATCAAACAAAAACAAGCTACAAGCCTAAATCCTAACATATTTTGCAAGACAGAAACTTCTTTTGAATATTATATTTTTGAAATTACTTAAACTATTATAACTTGACATGTTTTAGTTAAAATGTTGTTATTCAACTTTTTATCTTGTTTTGGTGGTTGGGTTGATCAAGTATAGTGTCTATAATTCGTTTTGTGGGGTTTTATTTTTTTCTTTGTCACGTGGTGACACCATATTTGCGCCATCGCCATGGGAAAAGCCCCGTGCGCCATGGCTGTCGCCATGCGCCATGACAACCTTGCATTCAATAGATAATTAAGTACATAACGTCTGTAAGTCATTTGATGCTGTAATGACTCTCCTGCAAGTCATATGTACATGCTGTAATGGCTAATGGCTAACTCCTGCAAGTCATGTGTACATGTAAGTAATATGTACATACTTAATTAAGATAATTAAATGATACTGTGATTCATTAAGGGTTGTTAGTTTAATAGAGTTTGAAAAGCTCCAAGAGACTGACATTGAAAGTTTTATTGATGTTTTTACTAACATGTTCATTATTTACTTGTATTTTAACAAAAGTTATTAGTAATTTATTACTATTATCATTTCTATTTATGTTCTACATGTACTTGTGTTAGAAAGGCCCATTTTTTTTTTTTTTTGCATTCTCAGGACCTGCTGTGCTATGGAAGTCTCACTCAATCAGATTATTGAAAGTCTACAGCCGCGGTTGAATAATATAAAGAAAGATGAGTTTGAGATTAACAAAGAAGCACTCGAAGCTGTCAACGTGCCTGCAAACCATGTTCAGTTATTTGGACTTTTAACAAGTGTTGTAAGCTTAATATCTGACAAAGGCTCTACTTCAGTTTTAGTTGTGATGGGTATGTTGACTGTTGCTTTCTTCATTGGCATGATATTGCCCTTTTTTATGGCGTATCGACTAATCACCAAACTGGAAAGTTTAGCCAAAAATTTAAATAGGCGTTATGGTGTCCTGCATGAAGAAATAAGAAAGGTTCTTGCTGCACATGACAGTACATTACAACACAAACAAAGCACAGAAGTTGATATTGAAAAAGGGGTTCCTGGGGAGCCTGGAACATCAGGTGAAATAACATCAGAACAAACGGAACGAACAGAAGAAACTGCAGGAAATTCTGAAGAAGCTAGCAAATATGAAGCTATGCTGTTGTTACTAGAATTGGAAAATGAAACAGAAAATGGAAAAACTGAAGCTGCCAATTTCAAGAGATATTATATTAAGATGTTGTCGATGCAGGGTTTAACGGCTGTGATCTATGTCTTTTCAATACCCTTAGTTGGGTATTTGATTTGGAAAGGTAAGTACTTAGAGTTGATAGTTTATAATAAAAATTTTAACGTTTTTTATCACTAACTTAATTTATTTCAGGCCTTTGGGAGGGCAGCACTTTACTCCGGCTATGGCACGGATATGCGGCCACGTAGCGCTTCTTGATTCGTTGGTAATATTTTCAATTACAAAGTACTTATTCATTTAATTGTAAATTACCTAAATGTATGACATTATTTTAATAACTTGCATCTTTGGAGAGAAGAGCTTCCATGTTGAACTCCATTCTTAGATTTACTCCAACAAGCTTCATTGAAAAATTTCTGCAAGTATCAGAAAATAACTAACCAGTAACACAAATTAGTTGTACCTTATTGCAGCCTGACGATAGGTCTTACAAAAGAATCATTCTTTCACTGATCGTTTCCCTTCTAACTCTTTTTGCAAGCCTATGTGCATCAGTGGCCTGACCCCTTCTGGCTCTCACATGAATATAGACTTACAGTTTATGCAGCTTTCGGATTATGAGCTTTATTCTTATTCCATTGTTTTGCTCTTCTGGTTTTGTTCTCGTGGGGTTATTGGATTCAATGTTCCCTGAGGCAGCCAGCTGTATAGGTACAGTTAAATGTTATTTAATTTCATTAAAGTTTCTTTTAAGAAAAAGAAATTGGTATTCACTTCAGGTAATAATAATGATTAATACTAAGATAAGATGATAAAATTACATTGGGAGATGTTGTTGTCTCTTTGGCTGTCCCCTTTTTAGAAGCTTTACTCTTTGTTGGATTTGTATCATTTTTTGCCAATTTTCACCACCTGAATCTGATCTGAGACAGTGGAGTTTCCCTGAATTTCCCATGGAAATGTTCCTGGAAAGCTTGCTGAAAAAACAAGAAAATCTTGCAGCCCTGTCAGCGAATTTGGGACCGGTGGAGATGTGTTGTGGAAGGTCAGAGTGAATGGGTAAACCAGTGGCCATGATCTGATGATCCACCATTGATGGCCGATTTAGCTTAGGAGGGAAATTATAGCTAGAGTTTTTAGTGCAGGCAGCCGTAGAAAACTCATCAGAGATGTCAAAGCTGCCTAGCCTCCCAATTAGTACCTGACTACAAGAACCTGATTCTGGACATAATTGTTAGCTCCTCCGGTGTGAGATGCCGCCAGAGATGAGACCATGGAGCTCAACGCAGACCGGAAAGGGTATCCTGATCCGCCGGATTGTCCCAACTAGGACTATTTTTTAAACTGGTAGGAAATGTGGGTAGACTTTAGTATCCCTAAGTAGACAATTTGTGAGTATTAGGGGTGGGCAAAATGGTTCGGTTTGATCGAACCGAACCGAACCGAACCGAAAAATTGAAGTTTGGTTTGGTTTGGTTTGCCATAGGCAAACCGTTTGGTACTAATATTCATAAACCGAATGGTCCGGTTCGGTTTGGTTTATAAACCGAAAAACCGAATGACCCGATCGGTTTACTTATTCTAAAAACGAAGCATATGTAATATGCGGTCTGCACGACTGCCCTTCTACGGACTTCAAACTTTCAAAGCTGCGCACAAGCCACAAACCCGCTAATCTCTATATCATAATCCCGATTGCAGAACCCTATTCACATGCAGCCTCCATCTCCATCCTAACTTTTGAAACTTGGAAGCTTGAATTCTTGGGTGGTCAGTGACTTAGGTGCAAGGTTTTCAATTAAGGTCAATAGATTTATCTGTTTATGTATCTTCTAATTTGATTTTCATTCCATCCTTTCATTGTTAAAGTAGAATCGAAATTGTCCTTAGATTAGGGCTTTTTGTTCAAAGAATATTTCACTGCTTTAACTTGGGTGTAAATTGTTCGTTGTTAATTGCTATCACTGTAAATTGTTCGTTGCTAATTGCTCACTGCTAATACTCTTGTTTCTTAGGCTCTAGTTATTCACCCACACCTCTCAAAATGATTCAGCCTAATTCAATGAACACATTTGGTGGTTTATAAATAGCAAAAACAGGGAGTTTCCAAGAATTCAAGGTCTGCTTTTCACATGTTGGACACGGAATCTCTGTTTAGAGGATTTAATGGAAAGAATGGTCATACTAATGATTTAATGTGTGTTTTTTGCACTCCAGTATTGCATTTACATGATATACATGAGCTCACTGATATTTAATATGTATGTTATTGTTGATGTCATTGTTAAGATTCTGAATTTCTGATGATCTGTCCAAAGTACAAATTCACTATGTAAAGTAGTGTAAACTATATGTTTTTTTTTACTTGCTTTCATAATGCTTCCAGATTTCTTTCTAGTGCTGATTTTAGATTTTAATTAAGTGTTAAGAATTAAGACATTAAATTTTTTACATTCATTTTTCCTTTAATGTCATGCTTCCTTTGCAGGTATGGCTGCAGGCAGTTAGTGTTGGTGCTGGTTCTAGCATGCAGATTTGGAGACCTTTTGAAATTTTTTGTTTCTCCCTGAACTGTGATATGCAAGTAGCTCTTGGAAATCAGTGTGTCAAAAATCTGTTAATGTAAACTTTGTGATTAGAAGGTGCAGGCAGTATGTTTTTAAGCTCTGTTTTAGTATTTTGGTTAATTTTATTTCAGTTGGTTTACCAGGTGCAGGCAGTATGTTAAAGCTATGAACTTTCTTTGGCTCGTAATCTAGTGAGTACTGCAGGCAGTTGCTCCATTATTGCTATGTAGTATGTACACTTGTATTTCTGTTTCAGTTGAAGCATTAATCTGTTTGGGTAACCTTTGTGATTTCTATTTGTATTTCTATTTCTGTTTCTGTTTGAGTCTTTGGTTTATTTTGTTTCAGTTGGTTTAGCAGGTGAAGGCAGGTTGTTAGCACTTAGCAGTAGTGGTGGACTCGGGCCGGGCGGCCCGGCCCGGTAACTGTTTGGCCCGGCCCGGCCCGGGGCCCGGTGGGTCCACCGGTTCGGTTCGGCCCGGCCCGGCTGCTGGGTGGTTCGGGCTCGGGCCCAGTTTTTGGTGAACCGGCCCGGCCTGTTCGGGCCCCGTTCGGGCCGGTTTTTAATTTTTTTTTGAATTGTTTTTAAGTTTTGGGTTGGATTAGGTATTTTGGGCCATTTGAGGTGGTTTGGGGTGGTTTGGGGTTGAGGGGGAGGGGTTGGGGGTTAAATAGAAGAGCCAAAAAAAAAAATTAGAACCGGTTAGGCCCGGCCCGGTTTGGCCCGGAACCGCCTACCGGCGGTTCGGGCTCGGGCCCAACTTTCCTGGCCTGAGGCGCGGCCGGGCCCAGGCCCGAACTGGCCCGAGTCCACCACTACTTAGCAGGCTGCCTTGTATCTAGGTTCTGTAGTTTGCTCCACTGTTATGTACTTATGTAGTATGTACTTACTCCCTCCGGTTTTTAATAAACTTTACACTTTCCTTTTTGGGACGGTCTAAAATAAATTTCACACTTCCTTATTTCCTTTTTTGGCAAAGAAATCTACATCAAAACAGTGCCAAACAGTGTCTCAACAGTGCCAAACAGTGTCTCTACAGTGCCAAACAGTGTCAAACAGTGCCTCAACAGTGTACTCTACAGTAAAGTCAAATTTCTTTCCTTATTTTGTGTGAAGTCAAACTGTGAAGATTAAAAAAAACCGGAGGTAGTAATTTATTTCATTTAGTTGGAATTTCAATGAAAACAAAACATTCAAAATTACTTTAAGTGGACTGTAAAATATGAAACAAGACATAATTGTTTTCAAGTTTATAAACCATTCATAATTACTTAAAGTGGACTGTAAAATATGAAACAAGACATAATCATTTTCAAGTTTATAAACCGAAATTTTCCCAAACCTAATTTGAAACCAAACTGAAATTCTTTTGGTTTGAGTTTGGTACTATTTTCTTCAAACCGAATAAACCGAAATTGAACCGAATTTGATAAAAACTAAACCGTAAACTGATTCGCCCATCTCTAGTGAGTATGAAAGAGAGGCTGAATGCAGGGATGGACCCGGGCTGGTTCGGGCCTGGGCCCGGCTGGGCCTCGGTTCATGGTAGGGGAGGCCCGGAACCGGTCCGGGTAACCCCGGGTCCGGTTCGGGCCGGGCCGAGCCTCGGTTCAATTTTTTTTTGGGTTTTCCTAATCAATCCCCTACCCTCCCCCTCAACCCCAAACCACCTCAAATGACCCAAAATACCCATCCCAACCCAAAAACTTAAAAAAATTCAAAAAAAAAAAAAGAAAAAAAAAAATAATTCGGCCTGGATCGGGCCCAAACCGGCCGGGCCGGTTCACCATTTGGGAGGCCCGAGCCCGGAACCGGACCCTAGCGGGTTGGGCCAAACCGGTCCCTGGTCGGGCCGGCAGTTCGGGGCTTCAGGCCGGTTCACACAGTAACCGGGCCGGGCTGCCCGACCCGAGTCCACCCCTAACTGAATGAGGGAGAAAAGTGGTGGGAAGTGAAGGGGAAAGGAAGTAGACAAAGGAACAATTTGACCTTTTGTTTTTCATTTTCTATCAAGTATTTTTTTCAACAAAGCCAAAATTTTCTCATCCTCAAAGTCCTCATCTAATTTCTTTTTTTGTCTCTCTTTTGAGCAAATTTAGCCCTTTTTTGATAAAGATAAGATTGGACACAGTTAAATTACAATATGTTTTGAATGAGCCAGAGAAAGACGTCTAGGCTGTGAACAAATGATTCATATCTATAGGTCATCAGTTAAATAAAAATATCTCGTACTTATATATAGGAGTGCCTTGAACAACACCTATATATTTCTGCCCATTTTCCACTAAACATGCTTCCGCTCTGCTCCTCATGTTTGGTTGCCATCTTTTTTATTTCGCATTTTAAAATCAAAATCCACTCCCATTCGACGCCCATCCTTTGCCTTATTATTCTCTCGTCAGTCGTCGGCCAGCCGAACCCTTGAAACATGAGCACTTTATGGTTCCCTTGTCATGTCTCTTGCATGTTGCCTTGGTTTATCAGCAAACTCTCGAGGTTCGCTTCATACAAAGGATTGTATACTAAGGTCATAGGTCAACCGGACTCTCTTCTTGGCATTCAAGCTCCTTTACTCATTCAGGTGCCATTTTATTTTGTTTTGGAAGTTGTAAAAGTGAAATTAATGGCTGTGAACCCCTGTTGTGTTTTTTATTCCCCTTTGGTTCCAGTGGTCGTCCCTTGGTTTATTCTTATCCATTAATGGTACCTTTTGTGTGTTTTGGGTTTTCAAGGAGGTAATATATGTCATTTAGAGGCAGGGTTTGTGCTATTAATGTTATTTTGGGTATATCTGATTACTATTAATACATATCTACTATAATACAAAAGCAAAATCCCTGAAAGCACTGTTTTTTCAACAGTGTTCCCGCCCATATTCCTAAGGCAAGAGTCCCTAAATGAAATTACATAAAGATCCCTTTGAAGGGTAAATTTGAGCAACAGGAATTAATTATTACATTAGGAATGGTGCAGCCGTGATTCACAGTTAGGCATTAGCAAAAAGGTGGGTTAAAGTCCACTGTTTCTTGATTGAAAAGGCATCTCCTTCTGCTTTGGCGGCTGGGCAAGCTGCTTTTCTGAAGAAAAAAAGCAAATTTGCATCATTACACCTATTTAGTTAAGCAATGTGTTGCTCTAATAGAATTAAATAATGATATTTAGCTAGGATTCACAATTGCTCCCTACTGGAGTGATATCATTGCTCCCTACTCATATAATCTATTTTTGCTGGAAATTATAACACACAAGTGTATGTGTGTATAGTATGTGTGGACAATGCATCTTACCTTCCTATAAATAGACATTCTAACTCACATTTGCATCATCCCTTCCTTCAGTTTTGCATTGATTTCTTTGCTACAAAAAATGTCTGACATGTGGTCTTTGATAAAGGATTTTGATCAATCAAAGACTTCCTGGACCTTCAAAGCTAGAGCAGTTCGTGTTTATCAAATCCCAGCATATGGAATTCATGGTGAATCATTGCAGTGTATTTTCCATGATAAGGAGGTAGTGTTTGCTTTGAAAACTAGATTTCTAAAACATGTATACTATGAAAAGTTTTTTTATTGCAATTCATATACGAAGTGTATAACATTTATGAACTAACAACTTTTTTCCCAGGGAACAAAAATTCATGCACATGTTGGGAAACATCAGGTTGCAAAGTTTCGGTCCCTGTTTAAGGAAGGCCATGTTTATGCAATAAGGCATGTTTTGGTTCAAAACAACTACATGAATTTCAAGACAACAAGGAATGCTTTCAAGCTGCTATTTATCAACAAAACTGAATCTTTTCAGATTACAAACATCAATTTCCCAATGAAAATGTTTGACTTTACAACGATTGCTGCCTTGCAAGCTATGGAAGTTGTGGATGAAACACATGCCATAGGTGACCATTTTCATTAAAAACAATGATTTCATTAAATGTTTAATAAAAGAACATTACTTAAATAAAAAAAATCTCTTTTAGATGTGATTGGCAAGGTTACTTCCCTGTCAAACCCTAAGGCCCTAACAAAGAATGGCAGAGAAACACAGTTGATTGATCTTACTCTTGGGGATGCACTGTAAGTATTTCAAACTTCAAAATTCAAGTGTTTGTGGTAAGTTTGAAATCTGAAATCTATATCATATTTTGTAGTGGAAATACTATCTCATGCACACTTTGGGAGGAGTTGGTGGATCAGTTGGTAGATTTTCTGAAGACTAAACCTAAGTCTATCATTCTTATTCTTCAACTATGCCGTCCAAGAAAATATCAGGGTATGATGAAACTAAAATTGATTTTCAGTGTGTGATTCATGCTTAACAGTGTAAACTTTTAGGTCGTGTGGGAGTGACAAACATGTTCAATGTAACGAAGATGCTGCTGAACAGAGATTGTGAGGAGTGTGTGGAGTTCAAAGCAACGTAAGCTATTCTTAAATAGCTTGAACCACAGTTTATGGACTGAGGTTTAATCAAGTGTTATCTTAAATGACTTAGGTTTGGGCCAGATAACGATGATGATGGCGACGGAGTAGCCTTGGGTACTTTTGTGACTCCAACTTTCCCAGATGACCTTGAAAGTGGGAATGTCAAGATGGTTTCGATTGATGATCTCATGAAAACAAAGGAGGTTGTGATATAGTAGAGCATTTCATTATAAATTAATGGATGTTTTATGTATATATATTGAAACAGGTTTACTATGTACAAATAAAAATAGGAAGGTAAGCATTGGGTCTATGGAGAGATTTTGGCAATTGATAGCTATCGAGATTGGTACTATATTTCTTGCAAGGGCTGCAGTAGGAAAGTTTTACCTGAAGGGGATACTTTCCGGTGTGTTGTGTGCAACACAACAGAAGTGATTCTGAGGTTGGCTTATTTAAAATGGTTTTTTTTACTGGCAGTAACCGATTCATGCTAAAGCATTGAAAAATTTCAGGTATAAGGTGAATATGAGGGTGATGGATGACACGGGTCATGCATCTTTTGTGTTTTGGGACAAAGAATGCAGTGTTTTGGTGGGAAAACCGGCAAATGCTCTTCGCGATGAGATTGAAGAGGTTTTTTAAAGATACATTTCAGTATACTATTCTTATATGCCATAAAATTTTCAAGTTTAATGTGTTTAAGTTTGGAATATACAGAAAGGTGTGGGACCTTACTATTTTCCAGTTGAGATTGATTGTTTAGTTGGGATTAAGGGATTGTTTCGAGTTCAAACAAAGACAGAAATCATAAGCTACAGGGGTGTGCCAACATTTAGTGTGATTGGAATGAATTGTGATCCTAATGTGATGTCGTTATACGAGAATAAAGGAAAAGCAGTGGAGGAAGAAGATGATTTCACTCTTCTTAAAAAGGAGTTTTCTGCTCCTAAAGAAGTATGTCTATGAAGTTCTTATCGTTTTGTTTTCAAGCTACTTTTTAATGGATATTCAACGGTTCCACTTAAAACTTAAACCTTAAAACTGAGTATTTAAACTTAAACTTTTGGTGCCTAAAGTTTTGTTTACTCATTGAAGATCATCACATTGAATGTTGCGGAGACAAGCCCCTTGCTGACAAAAGAAAAAAGGAAAGAAATTGTGATAAACTCTGATGGTGTCAAGAAAAAGTTGTTTGTTGAGGGCCCATCTGTTGAGCGCCCACCTGTCGAGTGCCCATCTTTTGAGCGCCCATCTGTTGAGCCAGTGAAGAAGTTGAAGAAAGTGAAAGTGGAGAAGTAGTAACACTTTATTACATTTTCTGTTTAAGCTAGCTAGACCAAACTATGTGCTTCAGATTTTTTTGTTTTTTTGCGGCCTAGATTATGTTAGTGAAAAGATCAGGTTATGATACAAACTTTGGATGTTGATTACTTGCTGGGTAATCTATTTTTATCCCAAGTTTGTAAGGAATGGCATTTGTTGCCAAGTATAATGTAACCTATTCTGAAAATAATGATATTGGTAGTGTTCTAATTCCAATTATTTAATTTTATTGTGTAACACTATTGAATTTAACAAATGGAAAAAGGTCTTTCCTGAATTTAAAAAAAAAAGAAAGAAGGGATCAATCATTTTTACACTACAAATTTTAGTCTAGCATCTCAAGGGAGTTGAGCTCACGCAAGTTTACGGTGGAGATTTAAATCGCTCTGATTTACAAAATCCTAATGTGATCACATATTTAAAAAATAATATCAGGTCAATGTTGTCAATAGTATATTTTCAAAAAAAAACTTCTCATTTCAGAAATTTCATAACACACAGTTTCAGTTGGCAACACAAATCATGTACTACGTATGTCTTTGGCAGTAAAACTGTTTGAAACTAAACTGCTGTGAAAAAAACTATCAAAAGTTATATATATATATATATATATATATATATATATATATATGAGGGCTCTTCTCATCAGGCCGGCCTGACGGGCTGCCCCGTCCGGCCGAGCCCGTTTGGGCACCTTCCCGGTGGAATTTTTTGATGAAATTTTTTGAGCATGTTCCTCATCAAGTCTAGTTTGTCCATACCAAATTTCAGCTCAAAACTCGATCGGGAAGGTCGTCAAATGATTTTTGCAAGTTAACTGGTCCGGAAAATACATATTCCGGACCAGTTAACTTGAAAAAATCATTTGACGACCTTCCCGATCGAATTTTGAGCTGAAATTTGGTATGGACAAACTAGACTTGATGAGGAACATGCTCAAAAAATTTCATCAAAAAATTCCACCGGGAAGGTGCCCAAACGGGCTCGGCCGGACGGGGCAGCCCGTCAGGCCGGCCTGACATGAAGTTTCCTCATATATATATATATATATATATATAGATATATAGATATCTCACAGAAGTTACCTTTACGCTCACATGTGCCTTGGGTGTTCCTAATTGTACCTTTGACTTTAAAGGTTAGAAGTTAATATTTGTTTGACGGAAAAATCTGAAAATGACATTTAGAGGGTTAAGTTAATCAAATTAAAGATTGATCAATACACATGAATTGAAACTGTGTATCCCAAATAACATGTCTTTTTCAAATAATCTAATGGTTTGATAATTGAGTGCCGTGCACTAATATTGAGTTAAAGGTTAAATTCAATTACAGTTATTACTTCCTTTATAAAAAATATACTCTGAATAACATGATGATTATAGATCTTTTAGAATATAATCCAGTGTAAGAAAAATTTAAAATATGTGGTATCAAATATATTATAACGGGATGGGAGTTACCTGAGATTAAGGAAGTTTATTATATTTTTGAAATGTAGGTAATGGTTTTAGACGTATGAACCATTAAATTAGGATTAATTTAGGATTAAATTGTGGATTTTGTATACTTAAAATCAATATTAGGGATACGATGCTTTGAAATTAGTACTAAATTGTTGTATGAAATAATTAATGTTGTTGTTTCTTTGATGAGAATCCAATGCTTAGTGTTAATGAATACGGAGTATATATAATAGGTTTCAATTGTTTTTTACCTGAGATTAAGCTAAGGAAGTTTATTATATTTTTGGAATGTAGGAAATGGTTTTAGACGTATGAACCATTAAATTAGGACTAATATAGGATTAAATCGTGGATTTGGTATACTTAAAATCAATATTAGGGATACGATGCTTTGAAATTAGTACTAAATTGTTGTATAAAATAATTCATGTTGTTGTTTCTTTGATGAGAATCTAATGCTTAGTGTTAATGAATACGGAGTATATATAATAGGTTTCAATTGGAAAACAGTGCTGTGTATTAAAGTTTGACATGGTATAAGATAAAGATACTACATAGTATTAAATCAGGATTGATTAAATATTAAGTAATTAGATAGTTGTGAATAAAAACTAATGGTTAGACACTGTTTGGGACATAGTTGGACATTATTTATTTGTTCTGAAAGTAATGTGTAGTGGTGAAAGAATACCTTACTAAGTAGGAAATGTGATGAATGTAGATATAGTTTGAAATAATTAGATATTTGCTATCGAAATTAATATATAAAGGTCTTTGGATAGACTCAATTATATTAGTGTATTTATGTATACCTTAAAGTATTTATATGTTATACAAATACGATTTACAAAAAATATAAATGGTACTTTATCAATTCCAAAAGTATTTTAAGTGAATATATATTTGAATATAGAAGGATTTAATATGGAGTATATAAATATTATTGCCCAAATGTGGTTGCATAATTTTGTACACAAGCTAGCCTTGAAAAGTCCATATGACTTTACTTTTAGGCGTGGTGATTGCGTCTGTGTGATAATGGCCATAGCCCACACTAAATGAGTAGGTATCATTATGTGCTTTCCAGCGTGATAATGACCATAGCCCACACTAAAGTCTAAATGACTTTACTTTTGTGCACAAGGTATCATCATTGTATTCAGCCTCTATCATCTTTTGACCTCTGATGTGACAGTGAAAAGATATTTCACTTTAACAAAAGAAGCCGTTTTTTCCATTCAGTAGGTATTTTGAGGGATCAAAAATTATGTGGGGTTTATTTAGTTTAAATATGTTGAGGGATCAAAATACATTTAGATATTTCTCTAAATGTTTTAGAGAAAGACTATTCTGTTAGAATTAGTATGATTAAATTACAAAAAAAGAGACTTTGTTTTTTTATATGTAAATTATACCGAACACTTCTAGAGTCCGTGATCCGTACTAAATTACATGTGAGTTAATTTTGGGCAAAACTTTATTTACTATGACTAAATTACATAGAAATAATAGTTCACTCGCAATATTAAAAAAATGATATTTATAGAGTATTATTTGCTGAGGAGTCTGATTTAATTACATAAAAGAATATTTTTTTAGCAGATTTGAAATCTTACATGTCTGTAATGTGCTTGGAGTAAAATGTTTTTTTTTTAAATTTGAATGCAATGTAATAGATATTTAATGGGGTAGCATGTATAATACGGAGTAACTACTTATGGGAGCCATTGAATATGATTTGACAGGTTGGGGGCTGTTATGATAAGCAAATAAAAAAAGATACTTGCAGCTAAATAAGTGAGCAGGCAATTGCTCCAGTCAGATTTGACAGGTTGGGGGCTTTTATGTTCACTAAAAAAATGAATGTGAAAAGCACACAAAGGATGCTTCTATATAAATGCAATCCACCTACTCCCTTTTTCATACTCTCCACATCACGTAGATTCACTTAGCATTGAAGTGAATGCTTTGAAGGGTGGTTTGTACTTGCTTCAGCCTTCAGGTAAACCAAATCCAGAAGCATCTTTATCCTATGCTCCGTATGTGGGTTGCTGCTTTAAATGTTTAAGATTCTTACCATATACCATTTCTCAGCATTTATTATATTATATCTACCTTAAATTTTCAACTTTTTCTTTTAACATAGACATCTACCCTATCCCATCATTTATTGTGTTATCCACTTATAAGTTTTCAACTTTTTCCTTAAAAAGAAATATCTCCTGGAACAAATTTGCGTACTAGCTTAAAGTGTTTCACATTTTTTAACAACCATTTCCTGTGTTTGCTAAAAATGGATTAAGGTGGAAAACTAATGCACGCATGCCCAATTTTTCCAAAAAAACAAACTTATGGATTTATTTTTCAAATTATAGGTAGAGGAAGATGGGAAAAAAAATAGCAAATATGATTTGTGGGTACTGCGGCAGTGGTGAATGGGGGCATCTGATTGTGAAGTGTTCAGTATGCCCAAATGCAGCACACCGGTACTGCATGCAGGAGCTGTCTTTTGATCCTAATCTTAACTGGCTGTGTGAGGAATGCTTAAGTCATATTCATCCTATGGATGAACTGGACTACTTTGGCATGATCCCTGAAATCATACATGAAGTTGAAATGGCAGATGTTCAGCCATTTCAATTTCATGTGAAGGAAGAAGTTGTTGAGATGCATGATCTCCAGCCATGTGAAACTTTGGTTAAGGAAGAAGTTGAACTGGGTGATGTTGATATGCAGCCATTAACATCTCAAGTTGGCGAAGAGATTGTTTCAATGGCTGATACTCACCCTGCTCCTATAGAGGCAATGGAAGAGTGTGCGGGGATAGCAATAAGCCCACCAACCCCTAGGCGGTCTCCCCGAAAGAAAAAGCTGAACAGAAAATATTTTGATGGGAAGATGGTGGTAACAATGGATTTTCGTTGGCTAACTGGGGAGGACCATGTTTGAAAATGGTGGTTCATGCATGATTATGTAAAATATTTAGGTCAAGGGTGAAGTTTATTTTTGGATTTTGTTGGATGCTATATGTATGTTGTATGCAATTTTATGCAATGATGTAATTAGTGTTGTATGTATGCACTGCAACAGAGTATGTAAGGACTATGCAGTTTTTTAGATCAACCATATTTTCCAAATGGTTGATTCTTGGCTTATGTTATGGGTGTAGCTGTGTCATAATCTCTGATGTAATCAAAATCTATGTAAAATGATGCATGAAATGATTTTTTGCCTAAATCATGTTCTCCTATTCTTCTATTGGAATAATTTATATTCAAAAAGTTTATGTGTTATTTCATTCTTTTGTGGCAAGTTCCAGATAGAGGGAAAATCCTTTCAAGGTTCAATCCATAACCATGCGTAAGCTCACTAAATCTACCACAGTTGGTCCAAAGAGAGGACCTTTGTCAAACCACACATACGGTAATTACATTATTACAACATGGATGTAAATGAAGTATTCATACCTTAATTATGGAACTATACTTCTTTTAAAACGAAGTATTATTCTTTCATTGAGTTAAATGTAGGATATTAGAAATAATTTAATTATATATGTATCTAAGAAAATATTGACATGAATATATACCCAAATTGGTTATCCAGATTATGAATGCTTCAATTGAAAATGTACTGTGTCATTTCTATTTAAAACAATACACATAAAGGTTATAGTTATGTGGTTTGAAAACACTATCAACGTAAAAAACAGGTTCTTTTGTGTCCAACCCAGGGGATAAAATGATTAATTTG